TGCTCAATCACAACGTGATTGGGATTTTGGGTCACAAAACTTCCATGGTCCTGGGTCATGTGCTCATGGATATCTACGAAGGCTTAATAACAGGCCAATAATTTTCTTTCAAAGAATGTATATGTTTTGGCTGACTCCAGGAGCTTATGGATTCAAAAGCCCAATGATTGCTTCTGAATATTGTGGTATCCTTCTGCCATTGACTCCAATCATCAAACTGAGAGGTTGCTGAGACCTGTGAGTCAAATGGCAAATGTGGATCAGTGAGGCCCAAAGGAAGGGTAGTCTGGTAACCCATTGAAGGGCTTTCAGAGCATCATGTTGGTTGAGGCCCCATTCAAAGATAGCAGCCTTTTGTAGTAACCCGGCAGATGAGTGCCATCAAGATTCCTGCATCGGGAATGTGAGACCAACAGTAGCTGAATAGGCCCACCGTCACTGGGCGTCCTTTTTGTTTGTTGGGGTGGAGAGGGCCCAAACTTAGCAAACATCTCCTCTAGAATGAGACATCATATCCCCTCCCCAGATTGCCACCAGGAATTTCACTTGGGTACCTTGTCTGTGTTAATGGTGTAGCCATCTTGCTGCTTGTGAGTCATCATGGCATCCAGTCATTGTTGGGTGGTACCCTTGTCTAGGCTTTTCAGGAGGATGTCATCAATATAGTGCAAGGCTAGTGCTTCCTCCAGGCACAGGAGTTTTTCCAGATCATGAGCTTCCCATTGATGGCAGATGGCCAAGGAATTTAGGTAGGCTTATAGAAGGATATTAAAGGTGTGTTGCAATCCATTCCATATGAAGGCAAATAGATCTTAATCATCACAGTGGAGAGGGATGCTGAAAAAGGCATTTACAATGTTGATTGCTGCAGACCAAATTCCCTCCAGTAGCCTCTGTAAGAGTCAAAATGTCAGGTACCACCAGTGCCAAGGGCAACAGTATGGCACCGAGCCACCTACAATAAATGATGAGTCTCCAGGTACCCCAGGCCTTGCATACAGGCTACATGGGACTAGTGGACAAAGAAATAGACTCAGGAGATCTTTGGTTCCCTTAAGCTCAGCCACGAGGGCAGTTACTTCTTTTTCTTTGGGCAGCTGATGTTGTTTGGAAGAGACAATGACCCAGGCACCAGTAGTCGGATAGGTTCGTAGTCTTCCACATGCCCCACTAAGGTGGCCTTAATTGCAGCAATTCCTTTCAGGGCTTGGGGCTGAACACCAGTGGGGGCGCATATAAACAATACACCTAGGGCCGGCCCCTTGGCTTAGCAGTTGAGTGTGTGCGCTCCGCTGCTGGTGGCCCGGGTTCGGATCCCGGGCGCGCACCGATGCACCGCTTCTCCGGCCATGCTGAGGCCGCGTCCCACATACAGCAACTAGAAGGATGTGCAGCTATGACATACAACTATCTACTGGGGCTTTGGGGGAAAGAAAATAAATAAAATTATAAAAAAAAAAAAAAAAACAATACACCTATACCAACAATACATTCAGTCGTGGGGGCCACAGCAGTGGAGGTCCATAGCGGCATGAAGGTACTCTCCCAGAGCCAGAGCAGGTGGTAGTGATCTCAGACCCCACATGAGAGAGAATTACCTATTTTCCCCTCCTCCTGGTGCCAGGAATTGTGGGGATCACACTCATCTGTGCACTGATATCCAAAGAGCCCAACTGCACCCAATAAGTGCAATTCTCCCCACCTCCCCATTGAACTCTGACCTTGACATAGGGCCTCTGGTCCCCTCTGGGGACAAAGGAACCTCAACCTAACCCCTAGTCTCCTTTATTTTGAAAGCCAAGAGGTTTGGGTAAAGGTTGGCAGGGCTCTCCAACTCATCTCTGGACTCAGCATAGGGGTCGTCACTGTACCGACCCTAGTGGGCTGCCTGTCAGGATCTCCATGGCCTAGTACCTGACCAGGAGTCCTTGTGGAGGAGCCCCTCAATCTCCTTTGAGACCCCAGTTATTGAATAATCAGATCCAAGATCTCCTTGAGAATGCTATTGCCTGGATGGTCCAGGAGAGGGCGCCCAATTACCATCTTTACATTGCTTTTTCAGCCGTCATAGCTTCCTTGGCAGTAGCTGCTTTTTCCTTGTCTGAGAATGTGTCAGTTAAGATCTCTAGATTGTGTTGTGAACTAACTGACCTGACCTTATAAGGTTTAATTGGGCTTGATAACCAGCAAGAGCAGCACAAACGAACCTAGAAATCTGAGTCTGCTTAAAGCCCCATCATCTGCTTTTCGCAACCTCTCATTGTGGACCCCGGGGACCACTAGCGTGGCTCCAGGGCTGCTAAAACCACTGCTAGGGTGGTTTAGATGTGGTTTTCAGTGGCAGGAAACTCATCACGGGTGGACCAAACCTCTCAAACCCGTCAGAGCCCATAAATAGTACCCAGCTGAGGAATGAGAGGATCTCAGGTGTTCGTGCCCTTTTGTCCACCCCTTCCTCCTCCTCTGTAGGCAAAGTGGTTGCTGTCAGGGCGCTCGGACAGAGGGCACCCCACAAGACACCACTCTCCCTCACTAAGTTCAACAAGGTTACCACCTTCATCGTGGAGGCCAACTAGCCAGGTCTCTAAGGTCTCTTAAGGTCACTCGGCAAAGTGATCTTGAAGCACTCTATGCTGTTTTTTATTGAAAGCACAAGTCTCAATAACCCATTGTGTCTCATGTCATGCATGATGGCCAGGGACCTGCTTAGAGCTAACAATAGTCATTGGGTGCAACTCAGCTAGCAGGGTCTATGATGACTCGGTCCCACCACTGGAAGACTTGCTTCCCTACCCTCTGTTGGATTTCTAATTTGACACATGGGTGACATCGGCTGGGGAGCCAGATGCTAAAAAGAGAAATATCAATGGTCCCCCTCAGAAACAAAAAGTTTGTGTAGCCAATCCTCTAGCACATGCCAATTGTGCCCCACAGGGTCCACTAGCTTCCTGAGACCACTGGCATGACTGGCAAAGTGCCCTGTGGGACCCTCAGACACTTGTAAATGATCTACTAGCACCTTGGAGAGTGTCCTGTGGACACTTTTTGCTTTTATTTTGTGTTGTACTTAAGTGACCACTCTGTTCCTTTCATCAATTTGTTAGAGAGGGAGAGAGAGAGAGCTTTGAGATGTCAATGTAGTCAATTGCGACAACTAGCCAAACTGAATGTAACAGGCAAGCCTTTATTCACTTACCTTGATAGTATAAGCCAGAGGCTACACAGGAAATGGTGCTATTCCCCCCCTCCACACACACACAGAATGGCATCAGACAAGGGTCAGAGGACAAGCAGAACAGGTAGGGGGATCATCTCACTGCTCAGGACCCCCCAGACAAAAAGCTCCAGCCATTTTACGGACCCTGGAGCCAACAGGAGCAAGAAGGGGAAGAGCTAGGAGCGGATAAGTACTGAGTCAGAGTCAGAGTGGAGCAAGTGTTTTCAAGGCCTCTTCTCCCCTCCCCATAAGGAGGCCTCTGAATGGCAGTGTCTGGGGTAGGAATGCAGGCATGCATAAGAACACGGCCAGCCTACAGGGTCCTGAGTCCTTGACTGCCACTCCCTCCAGAGACTGCAGTGCACTGGCTGTGCACCAGATCTGTGTGGGGAGGGCAGCTTCCCCCTGTGAGGCCTGCCACATAAAGCCTTTGTAGTTGCCTATGTTCAGGCCTAAAAGATCACACTTAGGATTCTGGCCTGGAACTAGATGACTCAACAATTATACTTAGAGATTTCAACACTCCTCTCTCAACAAATGACAGAAAAAGTAGACACATCAATAACAATCTAGAAGACCCAAACAATAGTATCAACCAACTTGACTGAATTGACATTTATAGAAAGAACACTATACCCAAAAACAGCCGAATACATATTCTTTTCAGGCATCCATGGAATATTTACCAAGTCAGATCATATTTGGGAGAATAAAATACATACCAATTTTTTAAATTAAATTAAATCTCAATATTTTAAAAGAATTCAAGTTGTTCAAAATACATTCTCTGACTACAGTGGAATTACATCAGAAGTCAACAGCAGAAAGATCTTTGGAAATCTTCAAAATTGGAACCTACATGATACATTTCCAAATAACCTATGGGTCAAAGAAGAAATCAAAAAGAAAATTGTAGTGTATTTTGAACCAAACAAAAAATGAAAGAAAACATTTTAAAATTTGTGGATGCCACTAAATCAGTACTTAGGGGAAAATTTATGGCAGTAACCACCTATATTAGAAAACAAGAAAAGTTTCTAATCAATGACTTCAGTTTCCACCTTCAAAAAGTAAATTAAAAAAAAGTAGAGAAAATTAAATGCAAAGCAATCGGAAGAAAGGAAATAGTTAAGAGCTGAAATCAATGATAAAGAATACAGAAAAACAAAAGATAAAATCAATGAAACCAAAAGCTGGTTCTTTGAGAAAAATCAATAAAACTGATGAATCTCTAGCCAGACCGATCAGAGAAAAGAGAAGACACAAATTACCAATATCAGGAATAAGAGAGATACATCACTACAGATATTAAAGAAAAATAAGGAAATATTGTTAACAACTCTATGCCGCTAAATTTGATGCATTGAAAAAATAGACAAATTCCTTGAAAGACACAAGCTACCAAAGCTCACTCCAGAAGAAACAGATAAAACTTGAACAGTCCTGTATCTATTAAAGAAATTAGAGTCGTAGTTTAAAATCTTCCCACAGTGAAAACTCCAGTCTCAGCTGGCTTCACTCATGAATTCTATTAAACATTAAAAGAAGAAATAATTGTCAATGTAGGATGGAAGTGCACTTAGGGCTAGTTTGTGAATCCTTGACGTGCTCCTAAAGACACCCACAAACAACGGGCACAGACTGTGAGGGGAACTGGCCATCCCACGATAGTTAGGTGAGGCAGACTCCATGAGAGGCAGGAGGTCCCTGAACTTCACACCTCTGACACCTCAGTTATTCTCAGTTCCTGTGGAATATTCAGTAAAGACATTCACGAATGTCTCAGGTGCACACCCTTTATTTTGGCACTCAAACCACCGCACCAATTTGCTCACATGGAATTTGAATTAAGGCGAGGTGGGCAGAAGGGAAAGGAGCCCACGTATAGAAGTTGCACCTCTTTATGGAGAAGAGAACCTGCCACAGAACAAAATGCTGTTGGTTTTCTGATGCCTGATGAAAAACAGGAAAGGGTGGTCTGCACAAAATCTTGGTTCAGTTCTGCGGCACCGGGCATTCCTGACCACGGCAGTGGCCGCGGCCGCCTCTGTGCCCTCCTCGTTGACCTCTACAAAGCACTTATGTGCGACCTTGGACAGCGGCATATTCTTCTTGGTTGACATTCCAGAAAAGTCTGCCTTGGCTTCCTCAAAAGCATCGGTCATGCCTAAACTTCGAAGAAAAGACTCCAAGTCATAACTCTCCTCCAGCTTGAATCTGGGAAGGAAAACTTGAACTTTATCCTTAGTCATCTTTTCTGGATTTGTCCAGGCTCTGAACTTCTCATATGTAAGTGCTTTTTCCACCTGAAATAATGAAGAGTCAAATCTTAAAATCTAGGTGACAACAGCCTGGTGCCCACCCACTCACTCATGACACCCTCCCCTCATGACCTAGATGGTGAGTTCTGGTCCAAGACAATCTACAGAGATAGTTCCTATTGTAAACACACCAAGATTTTCCCTCCAATTCTTGTCTTCTCCCCTTTCATGGATACAAGAGTAAAACAGAAAACACTTGAGACAAGGACAGAGTTGTTTTTATTTTTAACTATCTGTACCAAATTCATTTCAAATGATTTTTAGTTTAGAAAATTCTCATAACCAATTGATTGTATTCATGTGGTACACATTACCCTGAGTTGGAGAGATGGTTTGATAAAAGAGAGACAAAGAGCATGGCTCAGAACCCTGAGGGGTGAAAGAGGGGGAAATCAAGGATCATCTGAACAGGAAGGGAGACATGATTTCTGGGGAAGGGAGAGCAGAAATGGGGAATTCAACAGGACAGTTGCTTCTGGCATCCTTGTTTGCCCTCTGCCTGTCCTGGAGTTAGCTTCAAAACCTCCAAGACCCATCACTCATTCTACTTATCCACAAGGAAAAAATAAAGGAGGGAGGGGGCTTCCACTTGCATCTCCCTCTTCCCTTTACCACCTGGAGCCCAGATGAGTGCTCCTCTCCAGTGACAGCTGTTTGGATGTCAGCTTTATTCCTAGACTCTCCTACTCTTCTTCTTAAGTAGCCATGACAGAGCTTATCCTTCACTTATGCCAACAGCTTCCTGATTCCATAGAGAAACTAGGGAAATCAGGCAGGCCCTACCCTCAACATCCTGTGCATTGGTGTGCTGGAGCTGGCTTGTCTCTCTGGTGAGAGTCAGTTGTTGAACCCTTCGTAGCCTAAACTCAGCCATGGTAGGAGTATTTACACCATGGGAATCAGCAAACGTTCTAAACGAGGGCTTCCCCCACACCCCAGAGAGCCAGATAACCAGCACACTATTGGTCCTGCACCTCCCACCTTACAAATTTACCTTCTCGCATCCTGAACCCTGTTCTTTTTCTGTCATGGAAAGATGTCCCTCTCCTCCTGTCTAAGATAAATTCCTCACCTGAAACTTAGACTCTTGCTACTCAAAGTGTGGCCCATAACCAGCAGTGTCTGAATCATGGGAATCTTGCTAAAAATGCAAAATCTCAGGCCATACCCCACTGAATCAAAATCTGCATTTTAACGAGATCCCCAGAAGATTCATATACACATTAACATTTGAGAAACACTGCCCAGATCAATCCCTATCATTTTCCAGTACTTTTGCTCAGTAATTATTGGGCCCTTAACTAGCTCCTCCCTTCAGAATAAAGAATAATGTTCTTATATTTTTGGAACTCTCTCTTCTTAGCTTCATCAAAATTTGGCCTCACCAGCAATTCCACTCCTAGATATGTACTCAACAGAAATGCATACATGTGTTCACCAAAAGACATGCAATGGTGTTCATCCAGCACTCCTTATAATAACCCTATACTGGAAATTCCTCAAATGCTGTCTCATGGCTGGACTTAAAGAAACGAGTTCACGCTGGATCCGCAGACACTCAGAGTCACTGCCAAGGGCTTACCACAGTGAGATCGGTGTTGTCATCAGGCAGCAGAATGACCATGCTCAGCTCCTCCCCCTCATAGGGCAGCTCCAGGACCTGGGTGTGCACTTCATCTACATACCCCGTTTTAAATTTAGCTTGCTTAAACATCATCTGCACCGTCTTTTTCTCCTAATGAAAATATGAAACTAAAATCAGATTACTGAAAAATGAGCACAGTTTACTAAAAATAAGATATGTCTAATTCGCAGAATGCCTCGGTGCATGTAAGAGAATTTTCATTTCTGTGCATTTATGCTGGTGAATGTAAAATCTTCATTATTACCTATTGGTGTTGAGTATAATATGCTATCCCCCCAGCAGGTCAAGTATTACCAGGTGAGAGAGAATAAATTGACAAATATAGAGAGACATAAAACTCTACATTATTTTTGGAAGAAGTTGTGTTTTTTCTCTTTTGAGAAGATACATAGAGAAGCATTCTCAGGGACCACATAATTAAAAATTATTTCTCCAAATTAGGAGAATTAAACTAATATTCAGGCCTTTGGGCTGAAGGATCTGTTTAGAAAAGATGTATAGGCCAGAGGGAGTTATACTTTTATTCTGAAAAGTTGTTCAGTTATATAATTGGCTTTACAGTTTTGGTTTTCTTGGAGGGGGGATCTTGATAAGATGTGCAAGATCCACTATTTTTAAAGTGTGCGTCAAATATATTCTAGACTTTTAAATCTTTGTGCCATATGCTATTATCAAGTTGATGGAGGTCAAACTCCAAGCTCATAGCTATTGACCCCAGCCATTATCATATTCGAAAGGGAATGGAGAAAAGTGTTTTAAAGTTAGGCTTATAAGTCCAGAGACCTAACGGACAGCGTGATGACTATAGTTAATAATGCCCCATTGAATACTGGAAATTTGCTAAGAGAGTAGCTTTCAGGTGCTGTCATCACAAAAAAAATATGATAATTATGCGAGGAAAAGATATGTTAATTAGTTTGACTGCAGTCATTATTTCCCTATGTGTATGGGTATCAAATCATCATCTTGTATACCTTAAATACATACAACTTTTATTTTTAAAAAAGATCCAAAAATAAATAAAAACAAAGTTAGCCTGAACATCTGCTAACACTTTTTTTCTTGTGTTTGGAATTCTACAGCCATGAATTCTAAGCCAATAAATACGCATCATGGTCACTGACATGGCAAGAAGGTGTCTAAGTAAGTACAGAAGTGACAGTACAGCTCAAACATCACTCCAATTCTTAGGAGAAATTTTCTTTCAATCTAAATATATGAACAGAGAGAGAAAATTGATTTGACCAAGAATACCTTTATCAATAGAAAATGATTTTAGTTTTTCTCTTCTCCTCTCCAATAAAAGATATATCTCTTTTATCTCTCCAATAAAAGATATATGGGGGGCATAAAATTCATTCAGAACTAGATTAAGAGTCAAGACAGTAAGAAATAAATTATTTATTTTTTCCATTCATTCACAATCTTTCCCAGCATATTACTTTAAGAAAGTATATCTGAAACATATTTCCCTACCTGGTTGACTTTAAAGGGCATTCCCCTGGTGTACTTTCTGTCAAATTGCTCATTCCACTTTCCTTTGAAATAGACAGCATTCACGAGGACCAGCTTAGTCAGTGGATAGACTGTCCCAGCACCCAGTATCTCTGAAATCTTACCTGTGAAGAATATGAGAGAAGGTCATTGTTATTTGGGGGGGAACAAACATTCTTATACAAAAATCCTCTCGACACATAAAGCCGAGGCTTGGTGGAGAGCCCAGGCTGGAATCCTTTCTGCTGCTGGATGAATCGGTGTTTTGTGCTGGGCACACACACAGTGTATTATTTGTCCTTAATAACAGTCTTGAAGCAGGCATGTCAGCTATCATTTTGCCCTCAATTTACAGATGTGGAAATTCAGGTTCAGAGCATTTGCCTGACTTTTTTGCCAAGGTCACATAGGTGGCAAGTGGCTGAGCTGAGAAAATAACCCGGGAGTCTTGACTCTAACCGTAAGCTTCTCACCTTGGCACGATAATTTCTCAACCGTGCCACTACTGGCATTTAAGGCCGGATAATTCTTTGTTGTGGGGACTGTCCTATGCATTGTAGGGTGTTTAGCCAGTAGCACTTCCCCCAGTTGTGACAACCAAAACTGTCTTCGGCCATTGCCAAATGTCACCTGGAGGTTGATTCTGGTTGAGAATCACTGCTCTATGCCAGCCTTCAAATCTCATTAGGTGAGGAAAGAATTCCAAAGGGCGGGGGAATACAGACCCGTATATGGGAGGAGGAGGGCTTCCTGAAGGGAGCGAATGGGGCAAAGGAATTAGGGGGATGCAGTAAAGGGGCCAAATCGAATTCTCCCACGAAAAGTGGGGACAGGGTGATCCCAACGTCCCCTCCAGTTCTAATGTTCTGGGAAAACACGTGGGTGGTCAATCTGATGGAAGAAAGAGTGTGAGCAGCCATGGAGGGGAAGTGAGTGGTGTCGGAAGGCTGAGGTGTAGAGAAGCTTCTGGTTTCTCCAGATCAACTGGAGAACGAGAGACCACTGCACATATGATGTACGGAAACGTGAAAGGCTCTTCGCTGTCCATGGTCATTATTCTATTGGCTCTCAGTATAACCGTGGACATCACCACTGCCTGACACACAGTGGGTGTGCCATAGAGACTGAACTGACAGAATAAGGAGTGCTAGGTGGGCACATGAGGAAATAAGTGATTCAACTCCCCACCTTTTGGAAGTCTCTACATATTTAGAGTGCTTAAGAGCATGCCCTTTTCCTCTGTGCTCTAGTTAAGAACTGGCAGGAAGATTTTGGTGAGACAGAGTGTGGACTGGACAGGGCACCACAGGCTCCACATTAGCTCTACCTATAGCATCTGGAGCCCGTTCATAAAGATCATGCTCTGAAAGCAAACTTATCCACTGCTAAGTTTAGAGGGAAGGGGAGGGCTGCGGATGAAACGAGAGCTGTTCACATTATACAGGGAGATAACAAGCCTGTGTTAGCACTCGGTCTCAGCTCTAACCTAAATGGAATGCCATTCTGCCCTTAGAGCATGGCAAGGGTCCTCCCAGATAGAATTTAAACAGGGACACAGAGAGGAAGCATTTTCTGGGGGTTTTCCAGCACAGTCCAGAGGGGAGAGGGTCTGAGACCCTTACACTAGGTTTAAGTATTTTTTAGAAATCACTATTTCATAAGCCCAAGAGAAATAACAGAATTGCATTGCTGGCCTGAAAACCCACCAAACACACACAAACAGGTCACTGGTTATGGGGTCACAGCGGCAGTACCGTGGAGGTACCGTGGAGGTCAGACCCCAGCCAATCTCAGAGCTCTTTCCTCCATAACTGCGAGTCTACTGAAATGACACTCTCTCACCTTCCGTCTTTTTTGTCACCCAGTCATTGATGTGTTTCCTGCATTCTTCAGTGTCTTCAGCAAAGGGCAGCTCCTCCAGCTCTGCCTGATAGAACTTCTGACAGGATTCCTTAAAGGCCTACAAATGCAAAATCCGGAGTTTGGCCCTATTCGGCAAAGATTTCCATAAGTGTGAAAACATTTTTTTTCTTAACATGTTTCTAGCATAAATGCTCGCACAGGTCATCCTGCACTTTAAGACTCATTCATACAATTAACAAAATATATCATCTGCGGACTCTGTGCCCGGCACTGTGCTAGGTGCTGGAAACAGGGTGAAGAAATGATATGGGACCTGAGGAGCTCCCAGTCGGCTGAAAGAGACAACATGTATACAGAGATGGTGTCAACAACATATATACAGAAATAGTCTCAACAACATAAATAAACACAGATAGTCTCAAGATGTTTTGAAAATGCGGAAGACGGGAGCCATGCGTGAAAAAGCCCATGAATATCCCTGTCAAACACTTAAATTCCATATTAACTTTCTGTTTGATTTTCTGTCTCTGCCACTAAGCAGTCTAAGTCTTTTTTACTTATTTTTGTATCATCAGCACCTACCAAAGTGTCTGAAACATGTTTGTGGAATGATTGGGAGTCTCCATGGTGGAACTAGATTATTAAGAAATCTTACAGGTCCTCCGGGAGTGGAATGTGACAGGCCTAGATCACAGTGTGTGTGTATGCGTGTGTGTGTGTGTGTGTATGTGTGTGTGTCTGTGTCTGTGTGTGTGTGTGTGTGTGTGTGTATGTAGAGGATTAGGGAAAGCACAGAGGCAGGGGTGAGCCTTGAAATATAAGTTGGGGTCAAATCAGGAAGGGCCTTATATGCAACACATTAAAACCCAAAGATAACTCACCTCATGAAAACCTGGTTTCAGATATAATGTGTCTGGCAATTGGCTCCCATCCCCCGCCCATCTCCTGTTCTCAAATATTTTAGCTTCTACAGAAGAAAGAAGACGTAGAGAAAGAGGAGCTAAGCAATCAAGAAAAGTGGAGGGTGGCTCCCTGTGTCCAATAGTCCCCAGTTATAATATTCAAAGATCAGGCTGATATTCAAAAATGTACATCAATTAACCAGGAGATTCCTGGAATCACTAGGGCTTATCATAGAAGACCTAGCCAGCTGAAGGAGCCAGAATCATCTCCGATGATATTTAAGCTCAGACGGGCAACCTCCATTGGCTGGCACCCAACAGCAGCTAGGACGAGGATATAGTTGAGTCTTACAGAATAATCCTTAGAACTGCCAGCCACCATGGTGGCCAGGCTTGCCTTGATCGTTTCATTAATCTCACGACAGCATCACTCTGCATAGTATGTGGCATAATTTTTTGGAGCCTAATTGAATTATGATAGGCTTTTACTGGACTAGGGAACTTTGGAATTATATGCTGCAGTAAATAGGAACTGCTCAGATTTAAAATCTCAGTTTTCTGAACAGATTTTAATTTTAGAAAGACTATTCTGTCAGTAGAGTGGAAGGACCACGCTGGACCTGGAGAGATCAGTTAGGAAACAATTAAAACAATAGTGTAGAAGATATAGTGAGAGTCTGGACCCAGGTAATGTGGTGGTGATTCAGAAGAGGGCACAAATTGAGAGGCCGGCTCTGCAGGAAGAGCCCAACAACCAGAGGGGGAGGAGCCTTGTACACGGGCACAACAATCTGGTCACTGAGGGATGGGGATCAGGAGGCAGAAGCAGGTCTGGGAGGGGCAGGATGGACATATTGAGATTGTCATCCAGGAGGGATGTATCAGAAACAAAAAAAAAGGCCATAATTCAGAAGCAATCATAAAATTCAAAATGATAATTACAGAAGTGTAATTCCAAGCATATTTTTAAGGCAGCCGAGTCAAACTTTATCTCTGCCCTTCTGTAGTTTCTATCTGATTTTCAATCTCTCTTTCATCACTGTGTGAGTCCTACTTACCGGAAGGAAATCACACGTCTTTTCTCCAAAGAGCCTGTTGGCAGTTCTAAGCACGCACAGAGTGCCAGATTTGTTAACTTGAGTGAGAAGTGACTGGAAACCCTGGTGAACATCTCCCTCTTTGTTCAAACAAAGTGCCTGGTAATGGAAAACAAGGACACAGACTTATAACACCACCATTTTACTCCCCCAAAGAGCTATCTCCGAACGAATCTCTGCGCTGAAAATCACAGAGGAGCCTATCTTAAAAAGAGTTTGCTTTAACCATCTAGCGCGGAGTTTCTGGACCTCAGCACTATTGACATTTTGGGCCAGACGCTTTGCTGTGGGCAATGTCCTGTGCGTTCTAGGATATTTTGCAGCATTTCTGGCGTCTGCCCACTAGATGGCAGTAGCATCTTTCAGTTAGGACAACCAAAACTGTCCTGCAAGTTGCCGAAATGTCCCCCGGGGGGCAAAATCGCCCCAGGATGAAAACCAGAGCTCTAGCAGGTTTATCCACGCAGGCAAGACAGCGTGTGATAACTCAGGAGACAGAACAGAAGCCCCAGGTAGCGGAGATAAATCCAACCTGACCCAGGGAATACAAGAATGACCAGAAATAAACATAAAAATGTTTCATCAGCATTTTTACAGTTCTGCAGACCAAACTGTGATTTCAGCGTCAAGTCAGAGTGAGAATTAAGCTGTTCCTGCATCTCCCAACAACCCCAGCCAAAGCCTCACTCCTCCCATGAGCTGGAAGAAACAACCCCAGGGGATTCCACAGCGGCCACGGCGGCACTTCCGGAAAAGGTCCGTGTGCCCCTGATATTACTGGGAAGGTGAGGTGCATATGGCAATTCTCTGGGACACTTTCGCCAGATAGTCAAAGAAACTAAGACATGAAGAGGTTAAGGACTACTTTCCTGACATATTATCCACTATTCCTTTGCAGCTAAGGTCACACATAACCCATTTCGGATCAATCAGATTATATATTCCTTCTAAATAACTCCAGAAGAGATAAGTCCACATTTGTCTTGCACTCTTCTTCCACTCGTGCATAATCATACACCAGAAATAGCCTATTTAACAAAGAGTGCATTTACACAGCTGCATTTCAATTCGATATATAATGTTAGCAAAAGTTTAAAATATAACAAAGTTGAATTCTTGGCCTTCTTGTGGGACAGAATTATAGTTTACTTACCAAAGATGCAATTTTACTATAACATATTGATGTTTTGTCTAGAGAAAATAGCGTAATGACTTGATTTCTCCCATAAACACTAAGGGGAGCTTCCCGGTCTTACACAATTTACCTTTCTGCCCATGTCTGCCCTTTGTCCTTCACCGCGGTACCCCCCACCCCGCTACCAGCCACAGTGGCTTTCCTCAGCTGCTGTGAGGTATGAAAAGAACACCCCCTGGAAGCACAGAGAGAAGCATGCCCTTGGTCTCCCTTTGTGACAGGAATACATACGTGAGACATCTGGGCCGCGGTGTTTCCTTTGGCCCCCATGAAGACCATGGCCAGGGCAGAGGAGATGCTCAGGGGAGAGAAGAACACATTGGGGGAGTTGTCCACGTCACCCAACATTTTTAATAAGTTGATGGCAAAAGTGCCATTTGCTTCACAGAGATCATCCATCAGGGAAGGTCTGCATCAAAAGCACAACACAGAAGCACATCAACCACCTGGTCATTTGCACCCCTGTCCGTGGACGCTGGGTGTGGTCAGCAGAACAACTGCACCCCCAAAGACATCCACGTCAAATCCCCCAAACCTGTGTCATTATCTTACATGGCCATAGGGACTTCGCAGATGTGACTGAATTAAAGATCCTGAGATGGGGAGAACACATGGTTTGATTCGAGAGCCTGAATTCTTCACTGTTACACAAAATCCCCCTATTGTTGCTAGTTCTCCTTCAGTTTAGTGCCTATAGCATACTTTATAAACAATGTTCTGCGAATTATAATAAAAACGACATTTCTGTCATCATGTCACGTGAAAACAGCCGGATGGATTGCAACAGATTTGGAGGGTTTGTTTGAGATGATCTGACTTAACATATGAGTCAGACCCATATTTGTTTTCTGGAAGACACAAAATTTACTTTCAGGCAGGGAGACTCCAAAAAAATACACCGTTTTCCACCGGAGTTCTTGACACTCGGCTGGGAGCTGTGAAGGGAGCCCATGGGCGGAGATATAAAATATGAAGCCCAAATCTCAAGTCATCAGATGGACACTGAATCAGAGGCACCGATTTTGGATCCCGTCTGACCTTCCCTCTAGCTTGACTAAACTTTAGACACGCTTCTTCCTGCCTCTCTGCCCTGATCTGCCTTTCCTTAGAGCATTTACTTTAGACAACTTGTCACTGTAAACTCTTTCTCTGCTCCTTTCAGATATAAATATTTTGAAAAGGCTCTTTCCTCTTTTACAGGCCAGGACAGTCTCTCTCAAGTCCCTAGGAGCCATCCCTTTAAAAATATAATTATCATGCAGGATAGCGCCCAACCTCCCTGTCTCTGTGGGAGGGTAGGAACAAAATTTCAGCTGGTACCTTGCTCCAAGCTGTAAAAAATTACAGCTTATTAATTATTATAATTTTAGCAAATTATTGTAAGTCCTGCATGATTTATTTCTATTAAACCTTACAGAAAACGGAGCTACTATTCAATAAAATATTAAAGTTCATCAACTCCTCTTGGTTTCCCTGAGTCTCTTCCATGTTACAGTTGAAGACATTTTGGAAAATAAAAGGACAAACCATCGCCCACAATCCCATGACCTTGCAAGCTATGTTTTTCTATTATGTTATCCCTTTTTTTTTTCTTTTGTCATTTGCACGTATATTTGTAACTCAAAAATTTTAAAACTACACAGGAAAAGTATGTTCCAGTTTGGAATAGCAAATAAGCAAAAGCAAAAGCACTAGAAACTCCACCTAGAGATAAGGGTCACCGTGCAGGTGTTCATTTTTATAAAGAGAGGGGGCATCATATGATCCTTCTTCTTCCAGCGGTCTAGAAGTGCCTCCTACAGCAGTCTTGGAACTGTATTTCATTAGGTTTTGGGGGGTCTCCTGGGTCTCAGGGGCAGGAAAGGAATGAGAAGCTGAGTGGGTGCCACAGGAATGGGGGACAACTATTTTAACCAGAGCCTTTTGCTGTCAAATGGTTCCTTTGAAGCTTCCTCCTAAGATATATATATATATTTTTAAAGAGATTTCTCTCATCTTTTTTCTTTTTTTTGAGGAAGATTGGCCCTGAGCTAACATCTGTTGTTAATCTTCCTCTTTTTCTTTTTTCTCCCCAAAGCCCCAGTACATAGTTGTATATCCTACTTGTAGGTCCTTCTAGTTCTTCTATGTGGAACATCACCTCATCATGGCTTGATGAGCGGTGAGTCTGTCTGCGCCTAGGATCCAAATCCGCGAACCCCAGGCCACCGACGTGGAATGCATGAACTTAACCGCTACGCCACCAGGCCAGCCCCCTAAGATATTTTTTCAAGAGATGTGTCCAATTTAGGAAGAAAAAAAAAAAGTGGGGTATAAAAAAAAAAGGTAAAGACCACACTCTAAATATAGAATCAAACCAGTGCTAATTCTTTAAAGTTTGAAAAAAGGTATTAAAACGCCAACCAAGAAAATACAATAGTGGCATGGTTTGCACAGCAGTACTCTATACTCAACAGGTCATTCATCAGAGGACAAGATGTTCAAGATCCTTGCTGCCCTCACATCGTGAAGCCACCCCCGGGGCCTTCAGCTGCAGGGCTTGAGCCCCAGGGCTGCAGGTGATGGAGGCTGCTGTGTCTGCAGTGGGCAAGTCCCAGCGCAGAGCAGGGTCCAGCCTGCCTCCAGGCACTTCCAGCCCCGCATTTCCTGACCGTACACTTGAGGATATTTCAGAAAATAAAAAGCCAGGAGCCAAAGGGATATTCAAACTTCATAGCACTGGGCCTACCAGAAGGTGGCACCAAAGAGACCAAAGAAGGAGAGAATTCTGTAAACCGGAGATGACAGACACAATAAATTTGGACTTGGTCCTACCTGAGCATAAGAGCTTTGGACTCAGGGTGAGGCAGGCATAAGCTGAGGCTAGTAAGTGTGAGAGAGAGAGAGAGAGAGAGAGAGAGAGAGAGAGAGAGAGAGAGAGAGAGAGTGAGTGTGTGTGTGTGTGTGTGTGTGTGTGTGTGTGTGTGTCTATAGTTGTCCTGCCTGAACAGACAAAGGAATGAACTGGAACATTACATCAATTTCAACTTTACCCTTTAATTGCTCTTAATTCCAAATGCCTACTTCCGGATTCTTCCGTCTCTCCTCCTCTTTCATCTCATTTCCTCACCTCCATTCCTTTTCAACGTCCAAGTGCTGGTCAGCAGCACAGTATTTCCCATCAGTATCTGGCCCACAGCAATGGCACACACTGGCACACACAGACACACAAGCGCACTCGAGGATGTGTCCCCGCTCACACCAGTGAAAAGGCAGGGGCTGGAACAGGATAACAGATTGACTCTCTTCCCTCCAGTTCTTCTTGGTGCCCCAATCTCATTTGTACACTAGAGCTCTTAAGAGGGTTGGAACTTTAAACAAAATGGACCTTGCCCAATAAATCTAAAAAGGAATTAATTTCAATATAATGCAAAATAATACCTTTGGGTGCCAGTGCCACAATTCAACTGTGTCATAAAAACAGCAATGTGGAAAGATTTGATTTCCAGCCAATAAAATGAATTGGCATTAAGCTAGTTTTCCTTTGACAGGAGAACAAACCAAGTTAGGACAATTACATACTGTCCCGGGGTCTTACAGCAAGAGCGGCAGAGTCGGCCACAAAAGCAAGCTTTCTGCTTCCAAGCATCTGGCATCATTCTTCTCCTGGGGGCCGTGAACGCCTGTGAAGTCACTGCTCCACTGCCCTTCCCATACACACATCCAAAAGTGATATTCAAAGAGTATTTATCTAGAACTTTCCTTATACAGTTTTGGAGAAGAAAATGAGCAATAACAGCCATTATTCCTGACTGGGAGCTCCCACCCTAGGAGTGACACAGATACATAAATGCATGGTTTCAAGTTAGCCCTGTGCTCTGTAACAGGATAGTTTACAAAGTGCTAAGAAAGCCCACAGAAAAGCAGAATGAATTTTCTTTAGAAGCCTGGGAGAAGGTGAGTGGTGAGCTGGTTCTAAAAGTTTGGGCAGGAGCTTCTGTAAGGTGGCGAAAGGGAGGGGTGAATTTTAAGGCTGCAGCTCTGGGACTGACAGGTGCAAAGAATGTGGCAGGAAGTGCATGGTTTGTGTGGCCCAGGGAGCCGTCTGCGGGGTTTTCCGTGAGAGACAGGTGTGTTGAGACTGGATGGGCCCTCATGCCAGGTTTAAAAGGTTGAACTTGAGCTATGGTCTGGAAAGCCATGCATGGTTTTTAAACAAATGGTACAAATGAGTACTCATTTAAATTGTACGAATTGTACTCATTTAAATAAATGAGTACACTGGAGTTTTACAAAAATACTGTGACTCACCGTCAGCATTGAAAAAGGCCGGGGAGCCTGCTGGTAGAACACTGCCCTAGATCAGCAACTGGCGAATACAGAGAGAGCAGAAGATGCAAGTGCCAGGCTGGGTGACTGATCACACCAGGAACAGGGAGCAGGACGAGTCAAGGATTATGCTGAGGCTTGTTAAAAACAATTCAACCTGCCCCAAATCAAGTCACTTATGTTAAGCCCTATGTCACCAAACCGAGGACTTAATTACAGTTCTGGCTCTCCGAGAAATGGAATCTTAATCCAGTCAATCAGGAATCGCCTGACCAGCACTAGTGAGGTAATCTGCCTGATAGCCCCTACCATCCCCTAAAGGAAAGCAACTTTGCAATAACCAGCCTGCTTTTTCGCAAGTGTTACTTCCTTATTCCTGCTCCCTCCTACCTATACAAGTCTTTCATTTTGTGCAGCTCCTCGGAGCTCCTTCCTATCTGCTAGATTGACTGCTGCCCGATTCAAATCTATTTTCGCTCACACTCCTAAAATTTTTAATATGCCTCAGTTTATCTTTTAACAGGCTCCTAGGTAATTTATGCTTAGGGTGGGTCATGAACCATAGGAAGTTTATATGAGGAGCCAGCTTGGAATGGAGAAGGTGATACATTCCATGTAAGATGTGTGGAACATACCATACCAAGGGATCCTGTAACAAGTAGAGCCAAGGGATGTTTGTAAATATAGGCAGGTTACTTAAGATGAGAATAAGAGCAGGAGATTGGGAGCCACTGGCGTCTGGATTCCAGCAGATTCTAGGCTAATGGGATGAAATTACTCGGACCATACACTGGAGGCATAAGAGAAGAAATTCACCTAGTTCCGGGGAATTTCCAATAACTGCAGGTAGTAAGAGGAAGAAGCCAAGGGACTGAGACCCAACAATTAAGAATGTCCTGGGAGAGCTGGGAGGGTGTGTCTGAGGGGCCCAGAGAAGCACAGAAGGCTGGAGGGGGACAGCACGGGAGAGTGCATGCATGAGGCATTCGGCGCCTGAAAACAGGGATAGAGGGCTGAGGAATATCTGGGCAGTTAGGAATCGATTATATTAACTACTGTAGACGAGGGGGAGACAGGTGAGGAAGCATTTTTTCAAGTTGCTAATGAAGAAGAACAGATGAAAGGTGTGAAAAAAAAAAAGAAAGACAAAGAATGGAAGAAAAATAAAAAACAAGAAGGACGGAAGTAAGGAAGGGAGGGAGGAAGAGAAGGAAGGGAGGGGGCAGAGAGGGAGGAAGAGAAAGAAACGAAAGGCACAACCAATAAGCAGGATCGCAGAGGGACAGGCGTTTGTCTGGAGGTGGCACTGACCCAGCCTCGCCCCCGGAGCTTGTCCAAGGCGCCATAGAAATCCCAGACACGGCTGCCATTGGCGCCTTAGTCTTCCCGCTGCACCTGCGGCTCCTCCCGCTCACCTTCCCAAAAGGCTCCGCCCAGCCATCTCCGGCAACCGCACTCCCGGCTTGAATCCCGGCCACTCCCCACTGCCGGCAAAACGCAGGACAATGGCGTCGCGAGCCGCAGGCGCCACGCCCACTCCGGGACCATCCCCTGGCCCAGGGCGGGTCTGCGGCCGCGCTCCCGCGCTCGGGTCTCGCAGTCCCGGCTCTGGCGGACGCTCACGCAAGAGCCGGCGGCGCGGGGCTGGGGTCTAGGGCACGGCTGGTGCCAGGGCGACCCCAGCCCCGCAGCTCTCCCGCCCGGTTACCTCCCGCCATCATTTCCCTAGGCGTGTCCTCCTGCTTTTCCTCCCTCTGTGTCTGCCTCTCGTCTTCCTCCTTCCCTTCGTCTCCCCGCGCTGCGCCCGAGCTCTTGGCAAGAGGCGTCCGCCGTGGGAACCCGACGACCCGAGCGCCTCCGCAGCCCCAGTACCTGGGAGATTCCTGCGGCCGCTGCTTCCGCTCCTGCTGCTGCGGCTGCTACTGTTCCAGCTTGGTGGACGCTTCAAGTCCGCTTTGACTGTGGGCAAGGCTTCAGGCGGATGACTCAGAGCAGTCGGAGGTTGCACCGGCGCAATCTCTGACTCTGCATCCCCAGGCTGGACCCCGGGAGGAGCCTGAACCTCGCCCGGCGTCGTCCCGCCCTGGTGCAGATGGCTTGGTGGGGGGAGGCTAGTGTTCCGCCCTCGGAGAGTGTTTGTGGAAGACGTCGCGCAATAGGGGATTGATTTGTTTTCCTGGGTTAGTATGCGCAGTATTCGTGTTGCGTGTACGTATGCAAGAGCGGTTTCAAAATTGGAACTTCGCTTTGAACATTAAGTAAAGCAAAACCAGAAGTTAAGTTTCCTAACGCCAGTGGTTTCCAAACTGCTTTGGTGGGACACCCATCAAACATTTTTGAGCATGCATCTTTGGTATCAGTATGACTTTATATGTGCTAATATGCTAAATACTAAAATATTGTGAACGCTATAAAACACATGAAAATTTGAAAGAATAAGAAAAAAAACTTTTTATTAGGAATACACATGTGCTCACAAAAATTATTTTAAAATTTAATGAGATCAATGTGATTGAATATTTGTTTAACGCTTTGAAGTACAGTAATTTGAAGACCTACTTTTAAGTTTAATTTATTTCTAAACTTGGATTGATGGTGATCATGAGGAGAGGCTTCACAGGAAATGAGTGGACTTAAATGGAGTGAAGGCATCATTAGTTGTACTTACTAAACCTGGACATTTGATTTTCATCCACATACTAATTATGCAAAGATTTCTAGCTGAAGTCTCACTAGTAAAAATCCATTTGTCCTCTTGAAAATCAGTTGTTCTTGCCAACCAAATTTTTTAAACCTTGTATTTTCAATATTTTTAAGTTTGAAGCCCACCAAATTTTTTCTTTTTGGAAGATTTTTATGAAGGTTAGAAAATTATATTTCCAAGTTTTTTGAGTGCCTTTATATGAGAGTTTTAACATCTTTTTTAGTAATAATCATATAATAATGGAAAATATCCAAATAGATGTTCTCAAAATGATCACTCTGCACTGTTTAAAAAAGTAGTTGATTTCTCATTCGTAGATAAGATGCACCTTTACCTAAAGGCAATCCTCTGTATTTTTCAAGAATACTTGCTAAGTGTTCAGCTACTGACAGCCACTTATCATCACAGAAAAGGTCAGCACATTTGGAACACTAGCCTTTTAAAAAAGAAAAAATATGCAAATAATTAATGAACCTCTTTTTTAAAGTACTTTGGCATGAGATAATAAGCAAGCCTCATTGGTTTTCAAAAGATATTCATGGCCACTACAGTGCTTATCACAAGGTATTATAAAAGTTCTACTATTTAATGTTCTAGGTGGTGGTGGTTGTTTTTAATCACAGTGATACCATCTGGTAGCAGGCATCCCTTGCAGTGCCTTGCTGAAAGCACACGTGTGAGTGTGAGGATGCTACTCTGAAACCCATGCGTTATGAAAGAGTGGTTCTAGATACCTGCGTAGAGGAGCAAAGAGCCAAGTAGCAGTTCAAATCCAAGGAAGTATCCCTGACTCCAAAGTCTGAGCTGTTCTGCCTCCAGAGGGGAACCAGGAAGGCTAATTAGGAATCAGAGATAGACACAGGCGCTCCGGTTTAGAGCGCCACAGGACAATGTTGATGAGTATGCTTGCCACCTCAGCTTTATATTGAACCCTTACTTTTCAGAGGTCTCTTACTCTGGAAAATCTTAAAGGAACCTCAGGCCTGACACGTCCTTGACTGAACATGAGCGGGATAAAGAACATACAGGGATTAGTTCTCGTGGTCTCAAGGCAGATAGTAGAGAAGGGAAGGTCTGTCTGAAACACGTGCACCTTTAGGATTTCCTCTTTACTCCCACTAATGGAGGGGTGGCCACTGGGCCCCTTCACTGCACCTACCATGTCTCTACCCTTTCTGTTTCAAGGAAAGAAGTAGACCTCTTCCTTCTCTAGGACCTGGTTCCATTAATTACCTCCTCTTCTGTTTCTTTAATCTTTTCTACTCCTTTGAAGTCTTCTTGTCTCATAAATATACGCAATCTCTCCCATATTAACAAAAAAAGAAAATATTTCCACATTTTCTTTACTTTTTATACTCCGTAATTATAGCATCCTGCTTTTTCATCCTTCCATTCACAATCAAGTTTCTCAAAAAAAAAAAGTAGACATTGGCTGTTGTCTTTTTCTCTTCTTCTGATTCACCCTTCACTCCACTGGAGTTTGACTTCCATCCCAACATGCTCTGAAACTTCTTGTGATAAGGTCCCCAATGATCTTCTAATTGCCGTGCTCAAAAGATATGTCCCAGGTCTTATTTCATTGTATTTGCTGACAACCATTAGCCCTTTTGTCAGTTGCCTCCCAGGGTTCCAGAGCACCCTTCCTGGTCCCTTCCCTTCCTCTCCACATTCCTTTCTTCCATTCTGAGCTTTCTTCTTTTCATACTGTAATAACCTCTCCTTGAATGACCTTGGCTATCTCCATGTCCATCTGGACATCTCTCAGAAAGCTGGAGTCAGTCTCCTCCCCAGTTCTCTTAACTAAGTGATCAAAAGTCCTGTCATTTCTATCATCTTAGTGTCCTCCCATCCCTCACCTCTTCTCACTCTATTTCTTGGGTGAGACTCCCTCATTTCTTTCCTAACCAGTTGATTTTCCTGCCTACAGTTCTGATGCACACCAACCTATTCTCTAAAGGCCAAATAAACATTCCAGTTCTGATTGTTACCCCTCATTTTAAAATCCTTCATACCACCTTATCTAAAAAGATAATTTACAAACTATCAAACAAGGGTAAACCTCTTAAAGTCTTGATTTCTCTTCTTTCTTTAGAGCCACAGGAAACTATCTGTAGTCCCTCTATATCCTATATATTTACATAGGGTGCCTGGCATCCTAGCTTGTCTTTCAAAATTCATCTCAAGTGATGCCTCCTGTGGGAAGCTTACCCTGACCTCTCCAAGTAGTGTTTGGTGCTTCTCCTTTAAATATCCCCATGCCCAGTCTGTACCTCAAATCAATTAAATCAGGATCTCCTGCACCTCAAATCAATTAAATCAGGATCTCCTGCTGATCCAGGCAGCAGTATTTTATAAAGCTCTGCGAGGCTACAAGTACCTGAAAAGAAGGTTCCAGACTTTATCATGCAGAATCTTAGAAACTATTTTCTGTCTTCTTGTCTTGTACCTCATTTTTCTCATCTCTTCAACTGATACTGGAGAGTATCTGTTGATTCTCACCTCCTGATTCAACGTTGACCTAGATTTTCCTAGTTCTTTTCACTCTTGATTTTTCAGACTGAGGAAAGGCACATTCCTGGCCTACTCTCAGTCCAGGCTGCCAGAATCTCCAAGTTAGATGTCCTCTTGTCTGAGAGGGGAGTGGAGTCCAGGCATAGTCGGAGAGTCAGGGTGATTTGAGATCTCTGTACTCCATGTTGTTGAGTGAACACACAGTCTACCTAGAAGAGTCTCAGTTAGGACTAATTGTGAGGAGGCATCCATAGCCTTCTCTGGGTTTCCAAAATGTTTACATTCAGAGACTGACCATATTCTTCAGCAATGGCCACTCCATACATGCCCTACCTCACCTCCCACTCTCCCCACGTGATTCCCATCAGCCTTTCATGGTTTTGAGAAGGTGTAAGGTAAGAAACACTTGCCTCTGTTAATGAATCCCAGGAGAACAGAGATAGCATCATGAAATTGTAAGAGAAAGTATCATCGGGATTGTTGACTCTGCTCCTCATATTTTGCAGAGGAGGAGAGTGAACCAGAGGTGGTTTATATGATTCGCTCAGGGTCCCATGGAGAGTTTGTAGAAGAAGCTAGTGCCCTGAGGGAAGATGAGCTTAATTACGATGAACAAGTGTCAATAAAATTACTGATTGTTGGGAACATTTAAGGAACGGACTTTTCACTCTCTGAGAGAAGTTGGGCTACATGGGTGAATGGAGTCTCCTCGTACGTATGTAATCCATGATGCTGTTTTGCTGAAGCTAAATTGCTGTTTTAACTTAAAAATTGTCCTGACTGCTTTGGTGCTGATTGTTTTGGCTTCAGTGCGCCTATACTAATGTGTATATTCAATATACTCAAATATCTTCTCTATTCAGTTCTCTCTCCACTTCTCTCTATTCAAACAATTACAAAACCTCTTGCATATTATTTGGCCAGTGCTTTGAGTTAATGAATCATTTATATATGATCTGCTTCTGTACTTTTTCATTAATATTCCCCAATCAAGTTAGTGCCGCTTGGTCCCAACACAATCCTAAATTCAGAGTACTCGGTTATAAAGTGGGCATCTAGATCATAAAAAATGTGCTTATATTAAAATATGTAGGTTATTACCAAAATAAAAGCAAGCAATGAAAAAGAAATGCTATGGAGAACTTGCTGACCCAGGAATATGTAGAGCCCAGTGGACCTAAATTTGAAAAGCATTACACTAAGTAGCATGCCAAGTTTTGTGTTTCAAGGAAATTATGAGAGAAACAAAAGTGTTTCTGACAAGATATTACTGTACCTGGTAACTGCCATTAGTGCCTGGTGAGTGCACTGTCATTCTCTCCCTTAATTCCCAAGGTGTTATCTGGAAGTATTAAATGATAAAGAATTGGGTAGTAATCAGAGACATCTCTTTGGGGGCTGCTTTGATTGGGTACACTGGAGATAGGTAAGTTCAAAGGGAAGTAGAATCCCTGATATCCTCTTGGAACATGGCGTCTCAATAGGGTGACCACACACTCTGGTTTCTGGGCAAGTCTTATCAGTTTATATGGACAGTCCCAGTTTATACCAATTGTCCTTGTGTCATGTCTGGTTCAACAGTTGTCTCAGATTCTTCATCTTTGCGCTGGCCCCGTGGCTTAGCGGTTAAGTGCACGCGCTCTGCCGCTGGCAGCCCAGGTTCGGATCCTGGGCACGCACCGATGCACTGCTTCTCCGGCCATGCTGAGGCGGT